CTCTGGTGATGTCTTTGCCTAGAGCAGGACAGGGACGAATATGTAAGTATGGCAGGATCGATGGATAGAGAAATCACAGCCAACAGAACTTCAGTCCAGTAGCCAAGTGAAGTGGAAGGTCACTGGCCAGTGAATTAATATCCGCTTCTCCTCAAGGACTCTTGTGGTTGGCTGCCAGTTCTGCTACCAACCTGCCCACATCGTACGCGCTGCCAAGCAACCCGAACATTTCTAAGAAATTGTATGACCTACACATGTATGCTACATCGATAAGTGCAGTTCATGTAAAACTAAAAGAAACCACCGTCAACTTCAAGAGGTCCGTGTGGAACTTAACGTAGCTAAGCAAAAGGCGAAACGTCAAAATAAAAAAAATCTCAATTTTTCTAGAAAAAGTAAAATACAATGTATAAACACACGATAAACCAGGAACAGTGGGACTGTTGAAGCTCAACTTTGGAGAAAATGCATTCACACTGATTGACAAGGAGCTGAAATCGTCCGAAAAAGACAAACACGGGCACAGGTTCTTAGACACTCAAGCAATTTGCTGCCACCCTTCATTTCTATAGCGCTCAAGCCTATGGGTTTGTTAGGCAGTATTTACAACTTCCACATCCAAGCACAATTCGTAAATGCAGTGAAAGCCTGAACTGTCAGCCAGGATTTCTGAGGCCATCAATCATGTCAAGGAAATGGCAGCCGAGGCTTCGATGAAAAAGCATTGTATGTTTATGCAAGGCTAAAGAGTAATAAGCATGTTGGCTTTATAGACGATGGTAATTTCCTAGCTTCCTCGAAAGATAGTCTTGTTACTAAAGCCCTTGTTTTCATGGCTGTAGAGATAACTGGCAGTTGGAGGCATCCAGTGGCATACTACCTAGTCACTTGCCTGCTGCAGTACAAGCCGAGATCACCAAGCAACTTATTTGTGTGCTTACAGAAGCTGGAATAGTTGTGCATGGTGTGATATGTGATGGCACACATGCAAACCAAACAACAGCACCATTGTTGGGCTGTTCAATTACTCCTACAGCAATACTGTATGGTGTTATATTGCCGTACTATTGCGATATATCGCCATAAAGTATGGCGATATAACGCCATAACGTACGACGATATAACGCTATAGTAGGGCGATATAACGCCACAGTGCGGCGATATAACGCCGAAAGAAAAAGGGGTCGTGTGTAACGAATTGGCGAATACGAGCCACCGTACTTTCCACATCCAGGAGATGGATCTATCTCAAAATGTCTTCACTGTGTGTTTGATGCGTGCCACCTGAGCTGATTAAGTTTGTTAGAAATAGCTTAGCAAATATATCGGGACAATTTATCACGATGGAGATGAGATATATTGGAGGTACATAGAAAGATTATACGAGGTCCAACAGAAGGATAATTTGCACCTTGCAAATAAGTTAAAAGCAAAGCATATTTTGTAGCAACAGCACAAGGTGAATGTGAAAGGGGCTATACATTCACTTAGCTCGTCTGTAGCTGACGCCATTGATTTTTTGAGAGACAACCTCTGCCTTGTTGAGTTTGAAGGGAGCAAGAAGACAACACACTTCATCCGAATCGTTGATAAACTGTTCGATTTCACGAAGTCAAAGCATCCTAAATGAAAGGGAATCAAGAGTCCAATTACTGCAGACTTTGCGAAGAGACAAAAATGGCTCCTGGATACAAAGAATTACCCGGGAGCTCTTACAGATGCTGAAGGACAACTGTGCAAGGGCAGATGGAAGACTACATGAGTAGTATTTGCGATGATCTTTTGACAGCTTCTCAGCCTTTCTATTATGTGTGCACGTATAAGATGTCCCCAGATCACTTGGAGATGTTCTTCAGACGAGTTCGAAGAAGAAGTGGTTGGAATAATAATCCCAACTGTCTGCAATTCAAGTGGACTCTCCGTGTCATCCTATTGAAGAACCACATCCTGCCATCCAAAATGCTAATGTTAGCTTTGAGGAAATTTTGAATGACTATTTAAAGCCAAACCAACAGCAGCTGCTGTCCATCACACCAACGCTAACGTGCAAAGGTTTGCTGAACTTTTGACAGACCCCGCAGAATTTCATGAGCATATTCTCCACTACGTCATGGCTGCATGGTTATAATTATAAGTAGACATGTAATTGCAGACTGCAAGTGCACACAGTGTTGTGTTGCCCCGTAAAGAAACACGTCGGACCCGGCTGTCCCTTCAGAAAGCATGTCAACCATCATGACCGATGGGGGGAGGTCTTATTCAACCAAGAGATAATGTCTTTCGGATATTGAAGACAACGGACATACTTTTAGGGAAAGATATTACTTGATCCTTGTTTGTTGAATTTCCCATTTGCGTTGAATTTATTCAGTGTTTAGTTTATTCCACATTTTCAAATGGTTTTGGAAATTTTCAATTTATCGGTTTTTTGATAATAATAATCAATTTGTGTTTCGTCAATCGAACTTACAAAGTAGAATCTAATGCTCTTCCCGCATGTTCTAGATTTCCAGAATGGGAGTTCACTTCGTTTATGGAATTTCTATTCTAATTTTACTGACAGTGTTGAATTGCCAAGTGTTATTGTTCTAGTTGTTCAGTTGCTATAAAACATTAAGAAAACCATTTTTGTATTTGTTGTTGTAGTCAAATAAGGCTTGTCGCCCTACTGAAATGACAAACTGCATTACTCATAATTAAACTTGTGCTAGAGCTTTGTATTGCTTTTTCTTCAAACGTCCATGGAGAAGTAAACGTTCATATCTCACATTTTTTTGGAATGTCCTAAGAAATTTTCATGCTTGCAGATACCTGCAAGATGGATCGCATGTCTCACAAGAGTTAGACTCATATTCACGTTAGTGAAGTGACTTGCCCTAAATTCTTTCACTTGATCCTTACGACAGCAATTTTACTACAGGTAATTGATGCATTTCAATTGCCAGTCTCAGAAATTCTTATCCCCATTAACGTTTCTGGAGAACATACTAGCATCTCTCGAACAAATGGGAAGATACTGTACATGAAATTTTCTTTTCACTTCGGAAATTGTTTTTAAAAGGAAAGAACTCGCCCCTAGTATTTTTGATGTACCCTAATGTGACGCGGCCCCTTCCGTGGCGCGCTTTCATTTTTTAGCCTCTCACGTCTTATCAGAGCAACATTTTTAAATCAAATTTTACAATGGGCAACTTTGAAACTTCCAGTATTCTGATACATTAATGTTGATTTTACGTACTTGCTACAAAGGTCCGATGAAATCTTATTTCTTCCCAGTTTTCTGTTTTTTTTTACCGGGTATGCTAAATGAACACTTTTAAAATGTGCCCCAAAATGCAAACAGGGTTCTCTACAAACGTGTGGAAGCGTGTGAGTGAGATGATGCTTATAAGAATTTGCCGACTTTAAAGTATTTCGAAAGTGTTTATGGATTTTTTTTTCAAATTTTGTCAAGTGCGCCGTGTTTAGTTTCCGGAGTCTAGTTTCCGGATGCAGACATTTTAGATTTGGGACAAAATTTCAAAACAATGAAACGATAGCAAAGGCTCAATATCCTGAACATGAAGATGATTTTTTTAAGATGCAGATTACCCGGAAAAATTGCGGCAATGATCATGGCGTACAACAGTCTTGGTTAAGGCGGTCGTCATTCGTCGCACAAAACCGCTCGCTGACCTAGTACGGACCTCAGTACGTACATGCATACGCTGTAAAATCAAGGTGAAAAGCGACTTACGAAATATGCAAAACAACTGAACCAGGATGAACGCCTTGGTGCAACTGTCCACGGAAGCTTATGCTTTTCTTACTTTTGCGCTAGATTTTTAGCGCACTACCTCGTATGCGAATAAGGAGAGATGCAGGCGTGGGATAAGTGCAAAGCGACCAATCTCAGCTGGTATAGACATGTATAAAACATCAACGTGAACTGGTATGTATGATAACAATGTAAAATGGCGGACCTTTTGAGACGACTGCAGCACGACTGGCGTACGAGTCTCTTCCCTTTGTTTCTTTGACGAGTGCAGTTAAACTCAAGTGACAATTTCTGCCCAACTCAACAGTAGAAGTGTCCCAACATTCTTTTCGAAAACGAGATTGCTTGGCCCCCAAAATGGTGATATTGTGTTAATCTTTGAAGGATCAACTCCCTGGGTCTTTGGGCTTCCCCCTGGGGGCAGTATGGATTTACCCGAGAAAGCCGAGGGATGCATTTTGAATAATGGCTGCAGGCAGAATTCAGATTTATCACCTTTTGTAGGTCAATTTTGTTGTGTGTAAATATTCTGAGGTACAATTGGTTAACCTTCGCAAAATTGAAAATGAAAGTTGATTAAGGACAAAACAATGCTTTGATTTTTTTGTCTGAGAAACCCTATGGAACATTGGCATGCATGCTATTGAACCCTTAACTATAGGCTCCATTCTTTCTGTATTCATTGGGGCTGGAGTTGACTACAACCAATGTGGACTTCTCAATAGACACTTATTTAAAAAAAACAAACAAAACAAAACAAAACAAAAAAATCAGTCTCCTTCGACAGTCTCCCAAAGAAATGAATCTGTGTTACCAAGCTATGCGCTCATCAAATAGATCGATTGCGTCCGATGACACATGATATTGAATGGGTGTGAAATAATAATAAACGTGGTGTCCTCCTATAGAAAGTGTGAATTAAGTATTGTTCACCAAAAACAAAGCCTACTTTTCGGTACGGTACTCAGAACATCGTAGATGGAGCACTTTACAAACCGTCAGCTTCATCTTTGATAAGTGAAACTTAAGACACATGTTGCTATGGGAGGACGCATTGTATGTCAATGTTTGATACCCACCATGAACCACGTGACTTGATGGGCGCAATCGGTCTATTAAAGGTATTGTACGAAACGGGTTGAACTCCATTTTCAACATTTTGAACCGGTGTTTGTCTTCTCGAGGCCATTGTACCAGTAAAGGTCACCATCCCATAACCATTAGTTTGTGCACTGTACATGAATGTGGCTGCTGCGGGGACTGCATGTAACGCACAATGCTAAGATGACGGCCATTTGTAGCGCCTGCCTCTTGTGTGATCCACATGAGAGTAATTTGGGTGCGGCAATCAGCGTCCTTTGGATGATATCACATCGGAATCATTCCTTGAAGGATTCCCCTTTGGTTCTTCTGAGCTACATGTAGACGGCGCATATTTGGTGCACTGAAGTTTCTGTGGTAAGAAATAACCCGTAACTCTCACCCCAGATTCAGCGTTTTTGTCTCGGTTTGCTAGTTACAATTTCCAATCTAGGCTTAGGGGTGTAGGCCTGTACGAGCAGTTTTATGTGCTTGTGCATGTGAAATGTCGCCTTTGGTTAAATGCTTGAGTCTGTTGATTTCGCCCAAACACATTTTAGCCATTTTCAACACGTATTTTTTTTGCGTTGGGGAGATAAACAGGTTTGGCCCTTGCGAAACGTATATTAATAAGCACTGTATGCTCAGTGTTGTCCGAGAGCTTGCGAAAAAAAACCTCATAAGCTTACTTGGCCAGCCGACTCCGGCAAGCTCGGTGGTCGAGTGGTTAAGACATCTGCACTAGTAAGCAGAAGGTCGTGGATTCGAGTCCCACCCGAGTAAGCTTGTGAGGTTTTTTCGCAAGCTCTCGGACAAGCACTAAGCATACAGTGCTTATTAATATACGTTGGGTAAGGGCAAAACCTGTTATATATAATAAACATTTTAGTCATGCCGTGTATGTTTCCTCTTAGTCTTCCTGGTTTTGCAACCGATGTTTTTTTACTCTGATTTTTTGTTCCCATAGAAACACGTTATTTTTGTCATCCTACCGGAAACAACGACTTGGGGGAAAAAAACTTGGTCTTTGGCGTTTTGTACAGTATAAGCGTAATTTTGACATGTGAGGGGTTGGTGAGTCGTTACACGTCGTGCCAAATAACCAAGCATAAATATTCCTTTGGTGCAACTGTTACAAATTTGACTGAAAATATTGGCTTACCATTCTCACAACATATCGAATACCAGCGTAGGAGTGTCAAAAGATCTGACATTTGACGTTTCAATCCAAATACACGTAGGTCTATGCTAAATCTGTGTCGGTGGTGTGACCTATAAATAAACGACTTTTTAGTAATTAATCGACGCAGCTTGCTCTGTTCATTGTCAACGTCTCATGGCTGACAGAGCACACTGGACGAAATGCCTATTGTTAATCAGCACTCATAAAAAGAGATCAATCGTACATGGTGTAACTGCAGCTTCTCTTCTCACCATGCAAATCTTTCAAATGTTTTTAATTTCACTATCACTTTGTCAAAATGCAAAATGTTGTAAACTTAAGGTCTAGTTCTAAACATGAAAAATGTTGAATTGCTAGCTCATGTTTGTTATACACTCTCAACGTGCATAGTGTTGACCCTAAACCGGGTTGAACCAGGTTTGGATAACTTGCTGTCCCATGCCTGATTTTCATTTTAAAAAATTGGCATAGGCCTACATGTACAAAACACCTTTTATTACAACTATGGCATTTCAAATCAATCTGGTTTTGTTGTAACGGTCATTTGGACTTCGACACAGCACGCGTAGGTATGTTTTAAATTCAGCTGTATCGAGAGAACGTGTGGCGCGCGAGAACGGTGTTTTCGATTTTCACAAACTCGGTGTCAAACTGATTTGAGAGAGTTACGTTGGAAACGCTTTAAGGGCGGCTCGTGAAAAAAATGCGTTGTGGCGATAACTGGTAAAAAGTTCAGGGGATTCATAACCCTAAACAAGTTAAAAGAGCTGAGCAGATGTCGCCTACCCCTCAACATTCACTCCGACATCGTCAAAAGGTAACACGTTTTCGCGCCACGTCACTGTGATATTATCAATTTTCAGAAATCTTACATGCTATTCTCACAAATTGGCCATATTTCAGGGGCAGGTGCAAGGTCCTCACCGCCCAGCTAGGGGTTAACCAAAAGTGTTGGAAAAAGTGCTGAACTCACTTGCAGAGAGATATCATGTAACACTATCCATATTTGGAGCAGAAACTTTTCAGTTGAAAAGCATAGGCAATTAGAATTTGAAACTAAATGCAAAAGATATGTCCTACCCTCGGCGATGATTTGCTGAAAACCCAGCCTTTGCGTGTTAAACCAATTCTCAAGGTATGGTCAAATAATGATGATGGTCCTTACCCATGTATGGGTAGTGTGCCAAACGTGATGAACGCTTGGCATGATGACGATGCCGGAACCTAAAGAGGAAGTTGTTTTCACATATAATTTTCTGGGTGGATCATTTCTACAAACATGCATCTTTTCCAGAATTTACACGTTTCATGGGGCAAAATGTGTCTTCCTTTGCGAGGATGAAATGCAGGTACCTTTTCACACATTTCTTTACAAAATCCTGGATCTGTGATTAATAATATCTGACAATGATGGAAACTGTTAACTTTATTGCATCCCAAAACACTGTATGTCCAGGCCCCATGCTATATTAAATTAAGGTTGACACAATCACTCTGAATTTCTCATGCCTACTCACTTGGCACTTTAATGAAATAGAGAGAACATTGTCAACATCGCTAATTTGACTTAAGTCTGGAGTCACTTGGTAACTAAAACGTTGGCGACTTTTCTTAAATACGTAGAAGCCACCTTCCCCACAAAATATAAATAAACTATTTAAAAGGCCCTGGTCCTCCTCCTTTGTAGAAAAACCCGATTTACAGCTCGAATTTTAAATTTAAGCCGGCTAACCCACACAATCAATGTAATCAAACAGAAAAAACCTATGGAAAACTTATCAAAGAAGCAAGGAACGAATAGACAACGCTCGCTGCGGTAGCACGACCATGTGCACACAGTGCGCTACGCTATGCCTAGCCAGCACACGTTACTAAGTCACTAGCCAATCAGGTACGTGCACTGCAACTCATTAATAAAATTAGACTAGCTCTAGTCCTATACACTTTCCGTCACACCTGCAATCGTTTTCAAAAAAAGTATGATGAAAAGACCTTTAATTCCTGAAAAATCGCTGAAAATTATTCCAAATATCTACAGCCTGAATTAAAAGTTGGCCATCGAAAGCTAGAATACTGAAAGTACATGTACCTGTATCCATTGTTTGAAGTGTCTGGCTCGTTACATTGTTCATACCCGCTGTGGGCGGCTGTTACTGAAAATGCTATCAACTCACACATTAAAGGTAAGAGCCGCAGCGGTATAGGCCATTTGCTTTGTACATGTAAAGCGTGTAACGGAACCCCGCTATTTTGGTGGAATCTGGCAAAATGCCAAACACGTGCTAGGGAAAGCGCGTGAGCTCTGCCGTGGCAACTTTGCAACTTTTAGTCTTCATCAAACCTACGTCAATGAACAAACCTGATGCATTGATTGTCCTAGAACAGTGACATCTTGATGGCGTCATCAAGTGATGTATCATTGATTTTTTCAATATCCATTTCAGCCAATGGACTTTGTACTCATTTTCCAGGCACCATTTTCGTAAGTTAGCGATGTTCCATCGTCATCAAACGTACAAGCACAGACCTTAAAGCAAAGGTAATACTCAAATACAGTAGTTACCTCATAATAACGTCATAAAGTGATTTATTATTAAATTTTGAATATTGTTACAGTAAAGCCCCACATCTGCTGAAGTGCAGTATACGTCCCACTGGGTTGAAACTTTGCTAAAACCAACCAAAAGTATGGAAGGGACAACGGAGGCACAGCAACAATAGGAAAGGGACTTGCGTTGCCTGGTAGTAAACAATATTAATAGCGATTGTTACATGAGATGCATTGTTATCCCGAAAATCTCTAGAGTTAGGCCTACTCTCCCAAAATGCTCCAGATAGCACTTGCTCACTCAAAAATGAAACGTGGGTATGATAGTCTTCCGATTGAAAAGGGACCCTCCGACATCACTAGAACTCTTAATTTCAGATGTAGATTTGTCAGATCATAAAGTTACATGTATAGTTTAGCCTTAAAGCCTTATGAACGCCTTTACATGGCTTGGCATGTAGCAAAGTGATGTTTGGAATTATGTGAAACATCTGCAGGGTTAACAATAAAACGATTTGTGCAGCATCCGATAATCATAAACACTCCCTTTTTCTTTGCTTTTTTCCTTCTCAGTTACTGATAAAACAATTCGCAAAGACGGTGCTGCCAAGGTATTACATCAAAGGGCATTGTACATCGCATTGACTAACACCACAGCAATATCTTGTGACATATTTCGCAACTTGTGTCTTCACAGTTGGCCAAAGGTACAGCAATGGTGAAAATTCTCAGAAAAGTACCATTTGTTTGGTGTCTCACCTGCTGCCTTTGCTTTCTCTATTCTGGTAAGTACTTAACATTTTTGTCATTTTGTTTTCTTTATTTTGTTTCGTTTTGTTTTGTTCGTTTCATTTTGTTTGGTTGTTTTGTTTAGTTTTCTTTTGTTTTCTTTTCTTTCTTTTCATTAGTAGGGGAAACATGCCGCCATGGCGCAATCTCTCTAAAACTCACCCATCGCTCCACCGTCGCCGAGCCAAGAAAGAACCTGGGTTTCTGCGCCATCTCTCTAAAACTCAGCCATCGCTTTACTGCGTCGCCAAACAAACAAAGAACCCGGGGCCCGGGGCGCAGTCTCAACACACAAACAAGACTAAGGCTGGTAGCGCAGCTACGCTGACAAACCACGCGGTCGGGAAAAAAAGAGGAAGAAAAAAATATAGTACCAAAAATAAAGAGAGACACTATACGTAATCATGGAAGTAAAAAACTGTAGAGAATGTCACAAAGAAAAAACTTTTGCAGAGTTTAGACTACAAAAGAAGACAGGGGACTTATTAGCTTACTATTTGTTGTGCTTAGATCGTCATAAACGCTGGGTAACTTGTAAACATGACAAAGATAAGCACAAATGCGAACAATGCAGACATCTACAGCCCCACGGTAAAACTAAAAAAACTGCGACGAATGAAAAAAAACAAAACTTGTTTTGTGAAAATAATAAATACAAATCCAGTTGTACAATTTGCACACCCAGAAAATGCAAACAACAAGGCGTCAATAAATATCGGTGCCAGGAGTGTCGAACATCAAAAAAAGTGGAAAATATTATAATCTTTCTTTTTAAAATACGATGTTGAGAACTATGGTGAAAAACCTCGCCATGTGGTTTAAATATACGTGTATCTCAATGACTATGTCACTCAGTACAACATCATGCTACCATAAAATCAAGGCTCACGCGTGAAGACTACATTAACGCTATACATACTGACCTGGCTCAATTTAAAAATTTAATGCAAAAAATCATTACGAATTATTACAAATTCACTCAAGACAACAACTTACAGCCATTTCCCACGGGTAGACACGGTCGGCACGTGTACATGTACCTTAGAAAAGACTCCATTGACGTGATCAAAGCTTAACGTCACCTGAAACTTTTCAAGAAGCAGGCTTTAGGGAGGTCAGAAGGTAACTTTAGAAATTGGGAATCGTGCCTCGGTTGTTTAACACACACACCTGCGATTTTTTACCACCCACACATCAGAGGCAGAAGCAAAAGTCACGTCTCAGTTGAGGGGTTGGGTAGCATCAAGCTACAAACGCTTCTAAAGGTCCGGTTTATTAAAGAAAGACTGGATCGAGGAGACTTTGCCACGGAACGTTTCTGTTTTATAGTGAAAATGCTGTCGTGTTAACTTCTCTAGACGCGAAACAAGCGTTGAAAGAATAACGAGAAAACTGTTGCAGAAAATCAAAGAGTTTATGCAGAGAGGATCGCGTTGGGCCGTCGACGTCGTCGTTGCATGTTAGAGTAACGTGACGCGATACCAACCCTTAACAGGGAGTTCTTACTCACCAATACCCAATTACTTAAAAACTGAACAAGCCATCATAAACGTTCAAAACTAAGATCAACAATATATCCACTGGTCTTTGAGAGTGGCTTTAGGACTCTACAAACAAAAGTCAAACAACAAACTGCAGCAAACTCAAAGTATCAAATTAGAGAAGAAAGAACATGTAGGAACGAAGAGTGAGACCAACTAAAATTCTCTAACGTTGATTTTCCTACTCCAGTGTCTTTAGTCCCTGGTGCAGAAACCCAGAATAACCTGTTGATTAACGTTGATTAACTATGAATCCAAAGACGGCCGTGTGTTTCCCTTCTACGTCTCTGAAAAACAAGACGCCCCCTTCATAATATACGCTGGTTTTAAATGTATTAAAATTTTGGAACGTGTAGAACACCCAGCGCAGAGCCCACGCAAAGCCCAGCCAACACCGTGAAAACGCAACAACATAAACCGTCTGTTTTATTTTACGTCATAGTTCGATGTGACGGTGTCGGCACGAGTCGACAGACCTACAGAGGCACAGACACTTCTACAAGATTCGCAGAGTCCCTAACGAAAGAAAAAGACAATTTTAACTGCGTTTTAGCTAACGTCAAATCATTTGCTTTATACCATAGTTCAAAACAAATTGTCGCTGAGTCCTCTGGATACCAAACCGTTCTTGTTACAAAATGGTACAGACTCATTGGCTTACGGTCACTACCAAATTCAAGCTTGAACCGCAGCAGGGCTAGGGGGATGTAAGTGTCTTTGGGTACCACATGAATTTGTTCTCTATCAAAAGAACACTTTGGGCCGTTAGCCATGTAGTGAAGCGTTGGACCCGTCGTCACCTTTTTGCCGTTGATCGTTTAAATTTGCTCGTACGCTTTTTGATTTGGTTACGTGTTTAAAAAACTTGGTTTGGCAGCTTTGGTTGCTATCCCCGGTGTAATCGATAATGTGTTGTCTTGGTTGTTGAACGCGGCAGGTAACGCGGTGTCTTGGTTAGCCGAACACGCGTAGGCCTTGATAGTCGGGGTAGGTGATTTGGTGTTTGCTTACGTGCAAAAAGATTAAGTTTTAGAGTCAACTTTGGATTATAAAAAGGCCTTTCATCTCGTTTTTAGGGAGTTGAAAGGCTTTCTTAATTTTTTGTATTTCTTTTGCTTTAGTTCTTTTTGTGGGGTAGCATCTCTATGACTACTTTATACGTTACGAGAGCAATCCCAGTAGCGGCTAAAGCTTCAATCGTCACAGACAATCTTTCATTGTTGTGAGCTTCCAGCGAAGTTTTTTCTAGGGGTGGAATTGGAGGTAAGGGCTAGGGCGCGGTGCCCGCAAGCTCTGGTGAGGTGAACGGGTCTGGCGCGGAGCTCTCGGGGTTTGCACCGTTGCCCGCGTTTTGGCATTTTGGCGCACTGCAACGAGTCTTGAAACTCGTTAATCGACTGTTCCAAGTCAGGTTCCGAGGATACGAGACCTTCTGCCACGGTGATAAATTGGTTTTGCGCGTCTAACCGGTGCCAACACGCTGTTTTTTGTTTAAATTTGGGCTGCCAACAACGCGTAGACGTAAGCCCTGATCGATTCGTTGAAACAAGTCACGCCTGAAAGTATGTTGCTGAGCCTCGACTTGCGCAGCACAAAGTCCTAACAGGCCAACGTGACGGCGTCTGAGTGCTCAATCTAAGACACCGGGTGACCAGACACTTTGTGCGACTTGGCTCACTCAGATCCCATGTAGGTGGTGCCGTCGTACTTTGGGTACTTGTAGGTCGTGAGCATCGTAGTTTTTCCTGGGACGGGTAGGTAGCCTGTGTTGCCTGTATCGTAGTAGTAAAAAGTGGTGCCTAGCCCGTTACTCGAAGGGGGGTGCCGTGTTTGTTTTGACGAATTGGTCAAGTCTACGTTAAAGAAGCGACAAGCATCAATACACTTACGGTGATCGTACGTATTGTTTAACGCGTTAAATACATCGTCACCAGCTATAGGCATGACGCAGTCAAACAAGATCTTTCTCACCGTGTAGTGCACGTGAAAGTTAAACAAAGCTGATATATGCAGGTTGGGGTCGCTGAGTAAGTCAAAGCCGTCGTTGCACCGCAAATTGAATTGGTTTTGATAAAAGGTTAGAAGATCTGTTGTCTTTGTTAACCACGATGACTGCAGTTGGTTCCCGTGATTTTTTACTTGATTTTTACTTTACATTTATTATAAAACGGAGAGGCGGTAGGAGTAAGGCCACGGCTCGCAGAATAACTGGCTGGCGCTAAACCTGGAAGCTATTGGACAGTTTTACTCTAGGTTAACTCCCAAGTTTGTTGGTAAGATCTTTTTTTCTTTGTCCAGCAGTTCTTTTGCTAGCGCCTTGGCACGAGTTTCAATACACCTCGCGCGCTTCGTCTCAAGTATTCTCTCATCGCAAGAATTTTTTTGAACTCGCTTACTGGCGAATTGGATTAAAGCGTATGTGCACCAAACGTACCGATAGCCACGACTTCCATTGCAATTCCTACCGGGGCAGTTAAAACACCCAAAAATCGTAGGGATGCCTACTGATGCCAAACACACGCCTATTGCTTCTATGCCGTATTCCACGGAGCCAAAAGCATTAAAGCCTTCTGGGGCTTTTTTAAGCGTGTGCTCTCGTTTGTCTCATTCTTTCAGCGGGTTATTTTTCAGCTGGCGCCCCCCCCCGCGCAGCCGTGCCGTCTAAGTTTGTATCACACTGAATTTCAGTAGCGTTAGTTACGTTGACATACCTAGTTTCAAACAGTACTTTTGCTTTACTCTAACGGCTTTGTCCCCTCGTAGGTTATCAATGACGTCTTGCAATGTCAACATTTTTTCGGTTTTCTGTCAAGTAAAAGAATGCGTTTCTACCAGCGACCTGAGTACTTGTCCCCTCAAGATCTTACCATGTAAAACTCGATTTAACTTATATTCTTTGCAACCTGCTTCGTCTTTTGTCAACTGTATCCCCAGTTTGTCGCGATTAACCGTTTGCATAAGCTAGAAGACAATACCACACAATATACATGTACTTTACATTGATGTGTGTCCAGGTGTTTATTGATTTACTGATTCGTTCACTGTTCGGAAACGCTGGAAGAGTTGTTCCAACCGCACAATTATTTACGTGGAATCCTGACTAAATTCACTCCCCAGAAAGCAGCTACCACAGAACACACACACCCACACAAAACAACATCATATTCCACCGTGATTTCTTGTAGTCGTGGACTGATGGGGGCCTGCAGACACAGACATGGATTTTGAATAACTACATGGAGTCACAGCAGATTGAATAGAACCGAAAGTAACTCCCGACAATATGCCGAACTCTCTTAACAAAGGGAGCGCTTGGATAAAAGAACCGCCTTGGTACAGTCAACTCTGACTCACCTCAGCCGGGGTAGATTATTTTTATTTTGTTCGGTCGCTTGGCCCCAGGCCTCGAGCCTAGCTAGTCATGATTTGTCTATTGGGGACCGCCGTTCTTTGTT